GCTCCCGCAAACAATTGGCGATCGAAGAAGAGCTCCCGCCTTTTATTGACGAGAATGGGCGGACTATGGATTCGCATGAGACCGACGTGGTGGATAAAGAGCCCCCACGTCTAGAGGGGGGTCACATCATCCTCTTGTGATAGCGACGTGCCAGTCTCGAGCAGGGGCTCGAGACGCAAGAGAAAACGCCAGAAACGAGCACGGCGATCACCGAGACGATAAAATTTACGTCAAAAAGCTGATGAAGATAATTCCGTAGTGACGGAATCCGTATTCGCGCTTGAATATGTGGAGGGATCTCCACAGCATGGCCGCTACATTGAGATAGAGATCCCACCGTGCACTGCTGCAGAGATTAAATCTCTGTAAGACCTTTTATGGAAAGATTTCCTTCACGACCTCAAGGCCGGCGACATCGAGCAGGTGTGCATCGTTTCAGCCACCGAAGCATCCCATGAAAAAGTTCTGGAAGCTCGTCCAACGAGCGCCGAGCCTAAATCAGCGCGCGAAGAACGCTTCGCGGCACAGTCTTGGGATGCTCTTCGTGCTTCGGGCAACGCTGTATACGATATCGCCCGGTACGCCGATATTTTCCCGGTGAAAATTTCAGCTGAGCTTCCGGCGGATCGTGGTGTGCGGCACGAGATAGATCTCGTGTCAGGATTGAAATATTGCGTGACGCGGCAGTGGCCTTTACCGCGTGATCAAATCATCGCTATTGATGAATTTTTCGAGGGTCACCGCAAGGCTGGCCATGTCCGCGAGAGTATTTCGCCACATTCGAGCCCGACTTTCTGTGTGAAGAAAGCAACCGGCGGTTGGCGCATTGTGCACGCCTTCAACAAGCTGAATGACACCACGATTCCGGCTTAAACGCATATCCCTCGAAAAGACATGGTATTGAATACTATGTCCGAGAGCGAGATTTACAGCGCCATAGATCTGACAGACGATTTCTATCAGATCCTCATGAGGGACAGTGACATTCCGTTCACTGCGGTCAGCACCCAAAACGGGATGTTTTGAAAGTGGTTAGTCATGCCACAAGTACTTCGTCCACTTCGCGACTATGCATCGAGCTACTTTGACGACGTTTTTGCTCACAGCCGTGATGAGCTAAAGCTCAGCGCAACGGATGCAAACCTTCGACACTTGAAGCAGGTGTTTCGAGTTATGCGCGAGAATAAATTGTATGCGAATTTGAAGAAATGTGTCTTTTGCGCTCCCGAGATTCCAGTACTCGGTTGCTACGTCAGCAAGGAAGGTGTCCGCGCTGATCCTGAGAAGATCTCATCGATCTGTTCGTGGCTGACGCCCAGGAACCAAACTAATTACGTCAATGGCTCGGTCTGGCGAATTACTTGCATAATTATACGAAGGATTATGCTGAGATAATTCAGCCATTATCGAATTTGCTCAAGAAAGACGTAGTATGGTTATGGAAGGAAGAGCATCAATCTGCCTTCGACTCCGTGAAGAAGAGCTTGTCCGAGGCACTGGTGCTGATGCTACCTGATGACTTCAAGCCATTCCACGTCGTATGTGACGCGAGCAATTTCGGTATAGGATGTGCCCTCATGCAATTTGATGACGAGGGTCGAGAGCGAGTCGTGAGTTTTCAATCACGACAGATGAAACCTGACGAGAAAAATTATCCATTACACGACAAGTAACTTTTGGCTATGCGTTACGCGCTAATCAAGCTCAGAGTATATTTGCTCGGCAAAAAGATATTTTCTATCTACACAGATCACGCATCATTGCGTACCGCCGTCAAGAGTCCTCACTTGTCCCAGCGTATGTCACGGTGGTTGTCATTTTTCGCCGAGTATAAATTTGTGCATTACAAGCCTGGCAAGAAAAATATGCTCTCTGACGCGCTTTCTCGTCGTCCTGATTACGATGCACGACGCAGCATAGGTCATCAAACGGATAATGTTGATGACGACGATGATATATGTGCGTGTTGTATTGATCTGGGGCTCAACGCGATGATTTCGACACCCGTGCTGTCGATTCGAACTCAGATCGCTGAATCCTACGCAAATGATTCCTTCTATGCAGGAATCATCAATTATCTCAGGGACCCGAGCGAAAATTTACTCGCGAAATTGACGAAACAAACACGCGACAACATCAAGCGTTACACGCTTGACGGTCCGTTACTGACATACACGATGGACGTCTTTGATTCCCCGCGTGTCGTCATCCCTGCTGATGACGACCTTCGAGCCCGATTGGTTCATGAATTTCACAACATCCCAGCTGGCGGACGCCTGGGTCGCAAAAAGACGTTTGCGGCTATTTCTCGCGTATTTTTCTGGCCGCGAATGTATAAGTACATCCAGAAATGGGTGCGCTCATGTGAAAACCGTCAGCGTGTATATCCCGCACCGTCTTCACAAGCCCCAATGCGTCCGCTTCCGATTGCTATGGAAGCCTGGCTTTTAGGCAGTATGTTTTTTTATCGTTGGACTTCGACCAGATTCACAGAAACGCACGGGCGTATTGGTGCTAGTGGATCGATTCAGCAAAATGGTCATTTTTCTCTGGTCTCCGCCAACATTACGGTGGAGACGACAGCGAAGATCTTCATTGATCTTGTCTTCAGGCATCACGGTTTGCCAGAATCTATTGTTTCGGACTGTGACCCGCTTTTCACTTTGGCTTTCTCAACCGAATTATTCCAGCTATTAGGCACACGGTTTCTTATGTCTACGGCGCCCATCCAGAGACGGATGGACAAACGGAGCGTGTGAACAGAGTGATCGAAGATGTTTTGCGCAGTTATGCGACCTCGTTCTCGTCATGGAGTTCGTTTCTTTCACTTGAAGAATTTGCAATCAACAATGCTGTCCATGCGTCAACCGGGTTGACGCCCTTTTCGTGAACAACGCGAGGCATCCTCGCGTTCCATCGCTACTTGCTATCTCAGCTTTGGAGCACCCAGTCTCAAAGCTTGACGGGGGAATATCTACTGATGAAATTGCGCCGAAACTATTGATGGTTGATTACGATGAGGATAAGGTTGTTGCCGATTCAGCTAATGCTGGTAAGTTGGTGGCCAACGGCATATCGACTCCTGACGCGATGCATTCCATCGCGTCTACCGTTGCTAATTTTGCCCCAAAAGAGAATACGTCGCCTTTCAGTTCGGCTGCAGTAAACGAATTTCTGCTATTACGACAAGGAATCACGCGTTTTTTTGTGCGTGATGCATTACAAGAGGCAGTCGACAAAAGCAAAAGGAGAATGCAGACAGAAGAGGTCGAAAGAATATGTTTATATTTCAAGAAGGTGACAGAGTATTGTTATCAACAAGTGGATTACCGAACACCTCAGTGACGAATTTGGGCTCTAATAAGATAGCTCCAAGATATATTGGCCCATTTCGGGTTGGTAAGGTGCATGGTGACGCTTACACGCTAGACATACCTACATCTATGCGCTTGCGCCCGACGTTCTATGTCGGGCGCCTCAAGGCTTACCTACCGGCGGATTTCCCTTCGAATCTTCCCCGCTCTTGTGTGCCGGCTCAACATCCGTCATTCCTTGACGACGCCGCTGAAGACGACTTGTTCCAAGTCCTGCCCGAACGCGTGCAGACTCGATCTGCCGGGGTACTCCGAACGCAGTCGTCTCAAGTTGACGTAGGCGCTCAACCAGTACCCGCTGCTCACGTCGGGTCCGCTCTGAGCCTCAGTCACAGCAACCGCACGATCTTGAGCTCTCTCAGCCATCTCGCGAGCATCAAGTAGGGCATTCTTCGATTTCTCGGCTTCAGCGCGAAGTAGGCGCAGCTCGTCATTCGACTGTACAGGCGCCCGATTAAAGAAACCGCGCTCATCTCCAGAGGTCTTCCGTCGTGATGCTCCTCCGCCCTTAATTGATGCATCGGGTGCGCGACGCTGGATTGTCGACCGTATTGTCGATCACGAGGATAACAAGCCCCAGGCTCTGAGTACTGAATCGGCGCCTATGAAGAATCACGTCGAGAAACATTACAGGGTTCGCTGGCTGGGAAATTCCCTGGCGGACGATACATGGGAACCTCGAAGTATGCTGGATCAGGATGTACCAGACGTGGTCGAGCACTATTAGTCGAGTAGGAAGACGGTGATAGCGAGCGATGCTGCCGATTCCAGACCCAATTTCGCGAGCCGAGATGTTCGCAATCGACAGAGCTTTGACGACGAGTCCCCGAGCGATTACAAGATTTACTATAAGGCTCGAGAAAACTTGGATGGCATTTGCGACTTTGTGAAGTGCCATAGCGAATCGAATTTGGCGCACGTGGGGATTGAATTAGCGATATCACAATCAAGAAATCAGTGGTAATCACTGCACCAACAGAATGATAGCGCATGAAGAGATTTGTTTTCGTTATATTTGAGGCATTTCTGGATGATTAGTGCCGATAAAACTGTATAGCGTCCACAGGATCAAGTGTGCTTCCGTGACTCGCGGTGTCTTCTCCCTGCAGATCGTACGGTTGTTGTCATCAGATATATCCTTGCGCGCGCGGCCAGGGTCATACCGCTCAGTTGTGTGTCACTGAGAAGGTTCGAGGTTGTGTCGCTGCATTTTGGGTGAAAGAATCATTCTCATGTTATGTGCTTACGTTGTAGTAAGCACAACTTAATAAGGGGGGGGTGATGTAATGGGGCAATCTATCACATGAGTAGTTACAGGGATAATACATAATTACATAACTAGGCATAGAGCAAGTATCCGATTAGCGGATACTGCGCGTCATTTTATTATTGGTTTATTATTGGGGTGCCAGACCCAATAATTAGCCAATAATATATTGACTTGGTTTCCATGGGCTAGGGAACATATTCGCACTCACTGCAAATTAAAACAAAACAAAAATAAAAACAGTTATATTTACGAATTAGTTAAGAGCGCTTCCTCAACGTCCTTTTTGTGTAAGACGGTAACGGATCCTAAGCCCGTTACACACCATTCCCGACCGAAGCCCGTAGTCTTGTTTTCGCTTAAGGAATCAGTGAAGCACGTCGACGCAGGTTGATCTTGTATTCCCACAACTGCTGCTGTGCGTAACTCGATACATACAGCACGTACATACTGCCCTTGGCGTACATCTTCAAGGGAAATGGTAGTCTCGAGTCTTTATTGGGCTGCATACTGGACTTGACAATTTTCAACTTGGCCAGGTCCAATCCAGCCAGTAGCTCGGCAGTCGTATTGTCGAAAAGAAGACAACTTGTGTCCGTGAGAACGCCCCAACGCGTCACCAGCGCCTTCCGCAAAGACGAAGCGCTCGATGGCGTCATTTTAGGTGTCATTGGTGACACCTAAAGTTAACGACGCATTGCTCGACAATTTTCTAGTCAGAAAAACGACTGTCTCGATTGCGTGATAACAGGCGACGCCATGAGAAACTGTCCCGATTTGATCGGTGTAACATTGTTACTTAGCTCTTGAGCGAGAAAAATACATTTTAGGCTAAAAGCTTTATAGTTATATTAAGTAGAAAAAGTTTCGTCTAAAACCACTCAGTTGTTAGGAATTAATTCAACGACTAAGAAGTCCACCTTTTCTTAGGAACTAGGGGGGACTTCTAGTCTACAATCAATAGCTTGTGTAACGGACTAAGGAACCGTTACCGTATTACACAAAAAGGACGTTGAGGAAGCGCTCTCTATTAACTCGTAAATATAAATCTGTTTTATTTTTGTTTTGTTTTAATTCGCAGTGAGTGCGAATATGTTCCCTAGCTCATGGAAACTACTCAATATGGAAGTCAATTTATTATTGGCTAATTATTGAGTCTGGTACCCCAATAATAAAGCAATAATAAAATGACGCGCAGTATCCGCTAATCGGATACTTGCTCTATGCCTAGTTATGTAATTTTGTATTGTCCCTGTAACTACTCATGTAATAGATTGCCCCATTACATCTCCCCCTCTTTTAGTTGCGCTTACCTCGACGTAAGCGCGAATCGCAAAAAGTTTCCTCTCGACCAACGGCGTAACCTTCGAACCTGCTCAGTAACAAATGATAGGCAAAACGACGAACAACGCATATACCGACGATGCGTTTTGGAGATCTTGATGTGCCTTCATCAGAAGCTGGAACGCGAGTCGACGTGAAGAAACGTCCTTCACGTCCTGGTTAGATGGTCGCGAAAGAAGGCGTGATAGACACGCTATTGGCGACCTGCGCCGGCGCATCTGTCGCATGACTGTGACAAGTATTACCTTTGTTACGTCCACATTCGTGAGGGATAACCATCGTGCAACATGGGCAAATCGCGACCGGTCCCGCAGGAATGGGATTACTTGGTGTGTACGCGAGGCATGCCCGATCATATTCTCCCATAGATTGCCCGTTAAAAGAGAAGCCTTTCAAAGATCCAGGCGTCCCAACTACGGCGAGTGAGAGCGCGTCCTTACGATCTCCGAGGGCGTTCAAGTAGCCGAAGTCGTCAACCGTGTCATCCGTATCCTCTCGAGCCTCGTAATATGTCTCGGTCTTGGAGTCGCTCGGGGACTCGTCGTCAAAGCTCTGTCGATTGCGAACATCTCGGCTCGCGAAATTGGGTCTGGAATCGGCAGCATCGCTCGCTATCACCGTCTTCCTACTCGACTAATAGTGCTCGACCACGTCTGGTACATCCTGATCCAGCATACTTCAAGGTTCCCATGTATCGTCCGCCAGGGAATTTCCCAGCCAGCGAACCCTGTAATGTTTCTCGACGTGATTCTTCATAGGCGCCGAGTCAGTACTCAGAGCCTGGGGCTTGTTATCCTCGTGATCGACAATACGGTCGACAATCCAGCGTCGCGCACCCGATGCATCAATTAAGGGCGGAGGAGCATCACGACGGAAGACCTCTGGAGATGAGCGCGGTTTCTTTAATCGGGCGCCTGTACAGTCGAATGACGAGCTGCGCCTACTTCGCGCTGAAGCCGAGAAATCGAAGAATGCCCTACTTGATGCTCGCGAGATGGCTGAGAGAGCTCAAGATCGTGCGGTTGCTGTGACTGAGGCTCAGAGCGGACCCGACGTGAGCAGCGGGTACTGGTTGAGCGCCTACGTCAACTTGAGACGACTGCGTTCGGAGTACCCCGGCAGATCGAGTCTGCACGCGTTCGGGCAGGACTTGGAACAAGTCGTCTTCAGCGGCGTCGTCAAGGAATGACGGATGTTGAGCCGGCACACAAGAGCGGGGAAGATTCGAAGGGAAATCCGCCGGTAGGTAAGCCTTGAGGCGCCCGACATAGAACGTCGGGCGCAAGCGCATAGATGTAGGTATGTCTAGCGTGTAAGCGTCACCATGCACCTTACCAACCCGAAATGGGCCAATATATCTTGGAGCTATCTTATTAGAGCCCAAATTCGTCACTGAGGTGTTCGGTAATCCACTTGTTGATAACAATACTCTGTCACCTTCTTGAAATATAAACATATTCTTTCGACCTCTTCTGTCTGCATTCTCCTTTTGCTTTTGTCGACTGCCTCTTGTAATGCATCACGCACAAAAAAACGCGTGATTCCTTGTCGTAATAGCAGAAATTCGTTTACTGCAGCCGAACTGAAAGGCGACGTATTCTCTTTTGGGGCAAAATTAGCAACGGTAGACGCGATGGAATGCATCGCGTCAGGAGTCGATATGCCGTTGGCCACCAACTTACCAGCATTAGCTGAATCGGCAACAACCTTATCCTCATCGTAATCAACCATCAATAGTTTCGGCGCAATTTCATCAGTAGATATTCCCTCGTCAAGCTTTGAGACTGGGTGCTCCAAAGCTGAGATAGCAAGTAGCGATGGAACGCGAGGATGCCTCGCGTTGTTCACGAAAAGGGCGTCAACCCGGTTGACGCATGGACAGCATTGTTGATTGCAAATTCTTCAAGTGAAAGAAACGAACTCCATGACGAGAACGAGGTCGCATAACTGCGCAAAACATCTTCGATCACTCTGTTCACACGCTCCGTTTGTCCATCCGTCTCTGGATGGGCGCCGTAGACATAAGAAACCGTGTGCCTAATAGCTGGAATAATTCGGTTGAGAAAGCCAAAGTGAAAAGCGGGTCACAGTCCGAAACAATAGATTCTGGCAAACCGTGATGCCTGAAGACAAGATCAATGAAGATCTTCGCTGTCGTCTCCACCGTAATGTTGGCGGAGACCAGAGAAAAATGACCATTTTGCTGAATCGATCCACTAGCACCAATACGCCCGTGCGTTTCTGTGAATCTGGTCGAAGTCCAACGATAAAAAAACATACTGCCTAAAAGCCAGGCTTCCATAGCAATCGGAAGCGGACGCATTGGGGCTTGTGAAGACGGTGCGGGATATACACGCTGACGGTTTTCACATGAGCGCACCCATTTCTGGATGTACTTATACATTCGCGGCCAGAAAAATACGCGAGAAATAGCCGCAAACGTCTTTTCGCGACCCAGGCGTCCGCCAGCTGGGATGTTGTGAAATTCATGAACCAATCGGGCTCGAAGGTCGTCATCAGCAGGGATGACGACACGCGGGGAATCAAAGACGTCCATCGTGTATGTCAGTAACGGACCGTCAAGCGTGTAACGCTTGATGTTGTCGCGTGTTTGTTTCGTCAATTTCGCGAGTAAATTTTCGCTCGGGTCCCTGAGATAATTGATGATTCCTGCATAGAAGGAATCATTTGCGTAGGATTCAGCGATCTGAGTTCGAATCGACAGCACGGGTGTCGAAATCATCGCGTTGAGCCCCAGATCAATACAACACGCACATATATCATCGTCGTCATCAACATTATCCGTTTGATGACCTATGCTGCGTCGTGCATCGCAATCAGGACGACGAGAAAGCGCGTCAGAGAGCATATTTTTCTTGCCAGGCTTGTAATGCACAAATTTATACTCGGCGAAAAATGACAACCACCGTGAAATACGCTGGGACAAGTGAGGACTCTTGACGGCGGTACGCAATGATGCGTGATCTGTGTAGATAGAAAATATCTTTTTGCCGAGCAAATATACTCTGAGCTTGATTAGCGCGTAACGCATAGCCAAAAGTTACTTGTCGTGTAATGGATAATTTTTCTCGTCAGGTTTCATCTGTCGTGATTGAAAACTCACGACTCGCTCTCGACCCTCGTCATCAAATTGCATGAGGGCACATCCTATACCGAAATTGCTCGCGTCACATACGACGTGGAATGGCTTGAAGTCATCAGGTAGCATCAGCACCAGTGCCTCGGACAAGCTCTTCTTCACGGAGTCGAAGGCAGATTGATGCTCTTCCTTCCATAACCATACTACGTCTTTCTTGAGCAAATTCGATAATGGCTGAATTATCTCAGCATAATCCTTCGTATAATTATGCAAGTAATTCGCCAGACCGAGCCATTGACGTAATTAGTTTGGTTCCTGGGCGTCAGCCACGAACAGATCGATGAGATCTTCTCAGGATCAGCGCGGACACCTTCCTTGCTGACGTAGCAACCGAGTACTGGAATCTCGGGAGCGCAAAAGACACATTTCTTCAAATTCGCATACAATTTATTCTCGCGCATAACTCGAAACACCTGCTTCAAGTGTCGAAGGTTTGCATCCGTTGCGCTGAGCTTTAGCTCATCACGGCTGTGAGCAAAAACGTCGTCAAAGTAGCTCGATGCATAGTCGCGAAGTGGACGAAGTACTTGTGGCATGACTAACCACTTTCAAAACATCCCGTTTTGGGTGCTGACCGCAGTGAACGGAATGTCACTGTCCCTCATGAGGATCTGATAGAAATCGTCTGTCAGATCTATGGCGCTGTAAATCTCGCTCTCGGACATAGTATTCAATACCATGTCTTTTCGAGGGATATGCGTTTAAGCCGGAATCGTGGTGTCATTCAGCTTGTTGAAGGCGTGCACAATGCGCCAACCGCCGGTTGCTTTCTTCACACAGAAAGTCGGGCTCGAATGATCTCTCGCGGACATGGCCAGCCTTGCGGTGACCCTCGAAAAATTCATCAATAGCGATGATTTGATCACGCGGTAAAGGCCACTGCCGCGTCACGCAATATTTCAATCCTGACACGAGATCTATCTCGTGCCGCACACCACGATCCGCCGGAAGCTCAGCTGAAATTTTCACCGGGAAAATATCGGCGTACCGGGCGATATCGTATACAGCGTTGCCCGAAGCACGAAGAGCATCCCAAGACTGTGCCGCGAAGCGTTCTTCGCGCGCTGATTTAGGCTCGGCGCTCGTTGGACGAGCTTCCAGAACTTTTTCATGGGATGCTTCGGTGGCTGAAACGATGCACACCTGCTCGATGTCGCCGGCCTTGAG